AAAATCTTTTCGGGCTATTCGCAGGAACAGCATACCTTCGATGCACATTCAAGGAGTAGCTTCAAAAGAACTTTGGGTATCAAACAACCACTTGCGTTTGGTCCACGGCAGTCAGCCAAAGAGAAGTTAACACGGACAAATGCAAATTATTCGCTCCACTGACACTTGGTGGTAGTGGAGTGTCATCTCGAGACCTCAAAGGGGTGCGCCGCGCGCGAAGTGGGCGGGATGACCTACTTTCGGCGGACGCGCGTAACGGATGTTCTCCTGGTGTAGCTACTTATGGCGTGGGAAACTCTGTAGGAACTATAAAGAGTTTTTTGTGATCAAAACCTTTGTTAACAGCTTCCTTAATGAACATTATTCCGTCTCTGATATCCACACTGTGATTGTTGTCCATTTCCAAAGCAAACCATTTCTTGGCGATTCCAAGTATCTTTGGATCGATTTCCACAACAGTAATGTTTAACTAGAAAACTTCACAAATTTTTCTTTTATACTGCTTTAGTATTAAAGAAAATTTTACTCACATCGGGGAAGTGATAGTGTAGAAAGTTGTTCATGAAACCTGCTCCCAAGCCGATGATGAGAACATCCCCAGTAACGTTTTTCCTCAGTTCTAGGGTTCCGCTGACAAAAACTTCCCCTTAAGAAGACTTTGAACATTTGCTCCTTTCCAAGAAGGGTCAATTGGTCTCGGCTCCTACCAATCCTCTGCTTGGCTAGGATACCATATTCACGCCGCCATAACACAACCCACTCACCTACCATTGTTTTCAAGCAGCTCTCAGATGTCGTACCTCCTTTATTTATTTTCCATTTCGACGAGTCAAGGGAATCAGAATTAAGCACTGAAAACGGCTCGAAATAGAGGCATTTCACTGAGTGGTAGAAGGAAGCAAGAATTCAGTACGGGCACTCGGCTCTTACAGTAACCCCCTGGCTCTAGCACCCATCCCCGTGTCCTTACCCAAGGCCCCCTTCGACGCGTCGTATATGTGACGGAAGAGATTTTGCGTATTAAAATGAGGTCATGCCGTGCCCAATTAGTGTAAGAGCCGAGTGGCGTACTGAATTTTCGTTTCTGCGACTGGTAGGGCAAATATTAAATATCGCTACGTTAATGTTGGGAGGAAGTTCAGAGTAAAGAATGCACTAAATTGGTTTTCTTCGACAGGGATGTCTTTTGGAGGCTGTCAACCCGAGTGTGACGAACAATGCGGGTGTGGGAGTGGCGGGTATGGGTATATTGTGCGTCTGGAGATACGCTATGCGAAATTCATGGTGATTCGAACGACTTTAGCGCCTTTGTGACCCAAATTTGAAGAGGAGTAGATTAGCAGGAACAGCTTATCCTAATGATCTACTCTACTTTAGATTTGGGCCCTAATGATCGGAGCCAAAGTCGTTCAAATCGCTATTTCTCACCCACATCCACGGACACACGAACGCTCCGCCCACGAATGAGAGACATGCCGCGTTTGTTGCACCCCAATATGAGATTGGAGCGCGCAATGCATGGCACACATTTGAATGATTTTTGCGCTACTGTAAAAGGTGATTACTGTCCTTGCACTTCGATCTGTCACTGCTATAAGAATATCAACGAACATTTGCTGAGCGTATGCGCGTCTGGAATACTTAAAGCATAAACTCTTCCATAAAAATTTCCTATAAACCACTTATAACCCACCGGGTGGTAATTTCAGACGCATTTGGGAAAGTCGTGTCCCATCATCGGTCTCAAGCTCACGAACTACCGAAAACCTTCAATAAAACTATAAAATCGCTGTAAGGAATAGGCGTTTCTGATGAAGAAACGCTTACTTTTTGGCATTGAAATCTACACGATCTACTATGTGAACATATCGTCTTCCTTTTACAAGTATCCAGTTTTCACTGTAAATGGGCTACATTCAGTTAGCTGTTAACAAATTGGTGCTGGACATAAAAAAACAACGTAAATGTTGTTGATAAATTTCGACAGCTGAAGCATAAGAGGGCTGTGCTACTAACAAGGGAAGGATTCCAAGTCAAAGTAGCCATTTGGAATGAGACCTACACTGCTGGACGTGTTTTTGGATGCTGAGTTCAAATC